GTGTGTGTGTGTGTGTGTGTGTGTGTGTGTGTGTGTGTGTGTGTGTGTGTGTGTGTGTGTCCTCGGTATAAGGAATGATGGTGAGACAGGGAAAAGCATACCATGTATTTTTGTTTGTACTTTTAAGTAGAGGTTTTACGGCGCTCGCAACTGCATAAGGTCATATGAGCACCAGAAGACAGAAGACTAGAGGTGTTACAAGAGAGTAACAAACATAAAAAGAAGAAGGGGAGATGAGGACGACAGATGTTTGATTTTTAAAAAAGAAACAAACCACACCAGATCACCCGCCAAACACCCACATGTATTTTTATGTCGTGAGTCTGACCAGAAGCCGGTCAAGAGCAAACTAGAACCAGACGTGAGATGAGCAGATGACAGCACAGCTTGTCGAAATGTCGAGAGCACACGGCGACACAGGAGAAGGGGGGATAATAAAAAAGAAGAAACAAAAGTTGTGGAGTTTTCTACGGTCACTTGGCACAAGAACTCATATTTCGCCAAGAAGAAAGAGTATCGATTTGTGTAAAGAGAAGCACACTGACATAAACATGGCTACTTTTTTGGGGGGTAAGAGTTTTGCGGCACTCGCAACACAATAAGGTCATATAAGCGCCAGAAGATCAGACATGTTACAAGAGAGGTACGAACATAAAAAATAAGAAGGGGAGATAAGGACGATATATGTTTGATACGAAAGAAGCAAACCACACCAGAGCACCCGCCAACCACCAACTAAACATGGCTACTTAGAGCTGGGGAAAAGAAAGATACAAGAGGGATTCCAAGACAGTAACTATAAGAAAGACCTAAAAGTGGCACCCTCCAACCACCCACATACTAGTCAGAGAACAGGAAGCCTGGAAACAAGTGGGGCAGCCCCACTAGGGCACCCATCAACCTCCTAGACGACAAAGAAGAAGTAGAAACACCCGCGCCAACATGAGACATCCTGTCAACGTTCTGTCTGTGAAACGGCAGCAAAACTCGAACCTGTCGCTAGTGTCGCTAGATTGACGACAAGAAGCCCAAGGAGCGCGTTGTGAGCGCGTTGTGAGCGTGTGTGTGTGTGTGCGTGCGCGCGTATGTGTGTGTGTGTGTCTGTCTCTCTGTCTGTCTGTCTGTCTGTGTGTGT